TTTTTAGGAAATAAATATGCCTATAACCTGAATGATCGTCTTTTAATAATAAAAAATATTTTGCTCCGCCAAGAGACGATACTTCAAATGGTGGGCAAAGATCACCATGAATTAAATCACAAGTCCTTTCTGCTCTCGATTTGCTAATTGGAAATGAAAGTCTATGCTGCTTCCCAGCTAGACATTGGACACAAAATGTGTTTCTTTTGATGAATGAAATATTGTTACTTTTCAAGACTTTTTCAACCTGATCAAAATTGATATGACATAATTTTTGATGCCAATCTTCCAAACTTAGCACAACATTGCATTGCATAGGCTGATTATTAATACTTGAAAATTTCATTTTATATAACTTTCCTTGTATTTCAGCTATTGCTCGCACTATGCCATTTTTGTCCAATAATTCACATTTCTCTTTATCAGAATGCATTTCCAAATTTTTATCTAAAGCAGTACTCAATGAAAATAAATTTAAGGCTAAATCGGGTACATAAAGCACATTATTCAAATCGGTTCTTACCCATTTATCTCCATTCCATGCTTCAACTTGCACTGGACCTTTTCCATTTACAGAAACCAATGTGCCATTTCCTACTCGAACTTGTCTTTCTATAGGCTCTTTATTTATTTCTAGAAACTGGTTTTCGTCAAAACACATATGCTCAGTAGCACCACTGTCCAACCACCAATAATTGGAATTATCATTGCCATAACATCATGACCATTCAAGATTGCACTTGATTTTGATTCACCAACTAATACTTGATCACCTCTTCTATCATTTTTCTTTTCATTAGAATCTTTTCTCTTCCTAAACCAACAATCTTGAATTACATGTCCAGTTTTCTTACAGTAATTAATGCACTGTTTTTTAACTGATTGAGGACAATTTCTAATCATATGGCCTGTTCTATTGCATCTGTAACATTTTACATCACTCTTCGAATGAAATCTCTTTTTAACTGAAAAAGCCATTGTTTCTTGTGAAACTTTGTTACTATCTTCTTCTATCATTAGCCTCGACATTAAGTCTGCCAATGTTTGATTATCTGAAGGGGTGGATTCCCATGCAGAAACAAAATGTTTCATATTTTCTGGAAGAGACATTAATACTTTCGTAATTAACATTTTGTCACTTACTTCTTCGCCCATGCCCTTCAAATTTGCTTTAATTTCCTCTAATTTCGACACAAACTCAGCTGCACATCCTTCATATTCCAACGAGAATAACTTCTGAGTTAACAAATGTACACTTACTTGCGACTGATGTTCATAAATTCTTTTTAACTTCATCCACATTTCAGCAGACGTTTTGCATGTCAAAATGTGTGTCAAAATTTTTTCTCCCAACCTCAGAACAATTATTTCTTGGGCTTTTACGTCTATTTTATCCCAAGCAGTTACATCACCTTCAGTTGGTCTCGGCTTTGATCCTTCAACAACCTCAAAAAAACCTTTGGATTTTAATATTATTTCTACCTGAAATTTCCATAAGGTCCAATTTTCTCCATTGAATTTTGTAATAGTATTTATTTACTCCAACCTGGTCCGTCATTTTGTCTTCGTCTTAACACGAAGTTTTCTCTTCCTTAGAAAAACTTGCCGGGTTTTCACGCCCGTCTTAATCCGTAGACTCTAACTGACTATAGTAGTATAGTTAGTACTACTTCTTCGCGAGTCTGGGCCAATAACCTATTGAAATAAAACGAAGAACGGCGCCAGTATTAACTTCGTGACTGTGTTTTTAATATAAAAATTTACAATAATAACAAAATTAAAATTATTGTCCGACCATGACAACATAACAACTGAAATAACTTCACAAACAGAAAAGCACGCTACTTTTCTTTTATGATGACCACCAAATTGACCTACTGTCGTTATCAAATTGTTGTCACATTATGTCATAAATATAACCTTAACATAAATAATCAATAATAAAATAATTCTATTGTAGTTTTTGACAGGAATAATAGAAAGATGTTACACGTTTATGAACACTCCGAAAAGGGAAGCAGTACTATTGAAAATGTTGTTTTATTTTCGAGACCAGAGCCGTAGGAAGCGGGGGTGAGGCCCCCCATTTGCCGTTTGAGAGGGCGACGAATCCTAGTTCTTTTAACGATTTTTACGACTTCTTGGCAAAAATTGGGCGTGGCACCCCTAAAATTTTTCCAGCTACGCCTGCTTTCCTCCGGCGGCGAGCATTTGTTGCCCCCCCCCCCAAATGTTTTTTTCTGGGTACGCCACTGAATGTCAAGATTACATATATGGTTGCAAATAAACAACATCAACACTTGGCAACAATGGGTTTCATTATGGCAAATATATACCTGAAGTTAAAATTTGTTCCGGGATGCAATTCCGATGTTAGGCGGATGCAATTCGGACACTTTAAATATGACCTGAGCTACCCGGGATGCAATTGACCGGCGGCGAAAAATAGTTCCCCCCAAATCCAATAAATCGGGGTGGACTGTTTTCCCTGGGACACCCTGTGTATACAGCAATTACTTCTCAAAAACATACATAGAGATATCAATTTAATTTCTGAAGATTTGAGAATGAGAGGAAACCTTTTGAGTTGTCACAAAAAAGGTGAAGCGGTCCTGGAAATATTTATTAAAAAGATTTTATTTTTTAAATTTGCTAGGTACCTATATTAGGCTATTGACTATGTCATTCAATAAGGAACTAAGACGTTAGTGGAATTTTATTGTTTGATATGTTCAAATGGTCCCTAGAGATGATAAAACCGCGGAGTGCTACCAGATATAGGGGTGCATTTTTAAGAGCGGGGTGAGTTTGTCAGCTTTTTGGGTCTTCGGCTATAACTCAAAAACTATGCATTTTTGGTAAATAAATGCAGTGAGGTTTTTTGTAGAGAATAAAATTTCCTATCGAAATGACATTTTTTGAAGTCCAAGAACTTATTTTTTCAATAAAATAAAGTCAAAAAACAACTTGAAAAAAATTCAAAAAACTGACTTTTTATTTTTTTCTTCAATTTTTGCCTATAACTTTTTTCTGAGTTGACTTAAGCATAGGAATTGTTTCATGAAAAATGAAGCCTATGTAATTTCCGTAAAAATGGTGGCTGGTAGAAGTTCATACGATAAAAAATAACCGAGATATAGGCATTCAAAGTTAGCAACTTTTTTTTGATTTTTCAGCTCTTTGCCATCATATCGTGATATTTTCTTTTTTTGCATGGTAAATTTATTTTTATTCAATTAACAAACTATTTTACAATAAATAAATGACAATAGTTGATGTATTTGCTCAAATTCAAATAACGTACCTATCTAAAATTATATTTAAGCTAATATAATAATCAGTAAATAATATACTTTTTTTTTGGAATTGTGAGATTTACTGCCGTATGCCACATCATCTTCTAATTTTTAACGCGACTTTGAAAACTAAATTTTGGAAATTTGTATGGAAGAATACAATTTTTTAAAAGTTACAAGTTTTAGAAAGTGCTTTTAAGTTAAAAGAGGATGTTGTATGCGGCTGTTAGACATTTTGCACAGCATATATACGGCTTGAGGACGTTCCACCAACTACAGCAGTGGAATCAAAATGCTCTAAACTCACTTGACTGGGATTGGGCTGGAGCAAATTGCTTGTGGATACACAAAAGGTTGCCAAGCATCCTGTGGCTGTAGAAATTAGGAATAACCTGTTCAATGTTTTGTAAAAAATGAAGCATGTACATTGAACTCGAAAATATTTTGACATAATGATATAACATGATATATGTATATCGATTTTACAATGTATATAAAATAAATTCATAAAAAATTTATTTGTACGACATTATTATTCTTAAATTAACACTAAATTATTGCAAAATAATTTTTTATTGAACAAAGATTGATCTAGTATACTAGAATAGAAAATAACACGATATGAAGGCGAAAAGTTGAAAAACCGAAAAAAAGTTGCTAACTTTAAACGCCTATATCTCGGCCATTTTTTAACGTATGAACTTCTACCAGCCACCATTTTCACGGAAATAACATTGGCTTCATTTTTCATGAAACAATTTCAGAAAAAAATAAAAAGTCAGTTTTTTGATTTTTTTTCAAGTTGTTTTTTGGATTTATTTTATTGAAAAAACAAGTTTTTGGACTTCAAGAGATGTCATTTCGATAGGAAATTTTATTCTCTACAAAAAACCTCAATGCATTTATTCACCAAAAATGCATAGTTTTTCAGTTATAGCCGAAGACCCAAAAAGCTGACAAACTCACCCGCTCTTAAAAATGCACCCCTATATCTGGTAGAACTCCGCGGTTTTATCATCTTTAGGGGCCAATTGAACATATTAAACAATAAAATTCTACTAACGTCTTAGTTCCTTTTACCCTTGTTTTTTTCGACATAGTCAATAGCCTATATCCTCAGATTGGATTGTTCTGGGACTAAGTCGAAGTTATAACCGTCTCATTTTGCAAGTTCTAGCACATAATATTTTAAATTTCGACGATAAAAAAGCAAAACTTCCAGGAAAGGATATTAGCTTATTAGTGAGAAAAATGGTAAAAAAACACTCAGCACAAAAAAATATAGCAGTAAGTCGGTGAATCAAAATATTGTGCATTACTTCCACAAATACCTAATTACCTTTTAAGGCCAAATTATGGACCAACTGGTGTCTGGTTGTTATCTAGCAGGTACTTTCTATTATCTAGAGCATAGAAAGTACCTGCTAGGTAACAACCAGACGTTCACCAGTCAGTCCATAATTTGGCCCTAAGTCGAATAAAATATACTTTCGCCTATCAAACTCAAAAAAAAAAAACAATTTCTAACAGTTTTATCAAAATTTATTCACAAATTTTTTGAGGATATGACAATAAATTATATACAAAAATAATATGACAAAGAAAACACAAAAATAAAATCAAAATCTGTTTCCACTGAATCCAGTAGGATAATGCAAAGATGACACGTTATGTGGCCTTAAATACATCTGTTCGTACTGATACCTTTGATGTTGTAACTGCAGCTGCTGCATTTCCTGCTGATAGAGATATTGCTGATAATGCTGATATTGTACATTTGGAGTCGGTATTGAATATTGCTGATGCTGATGAAGATTCTGATGATGATGCTGAATCAGGTGTTGCGGATGTTGATACGGATGTTGACTGGTGATAGTAGAACTTTTCCTAAGTTTTCCCGTACTTTCACCAATAGAGAGATGATGAGCTGATGGGTGGAGAGCCCACAAATTTCCTTTGCCAGCTTGGGTAAATGGTCTCGGAACTTTCATGAAATGTTCGCTGGTACTCAGATTGTGACGAATAGAGTTTTGCCACGATTGTTTCTTTGCCACTTCACGGTAATACGGAAATTTGTTCATGATGAACTCGTAGATCTCGTTGAGGCTTAGCAAACCTGCAGAAGAACTTCTTATGGCCATCACTATTAAAGCATTATAGGAATAAATGGGTTTCTGATGATTACTTTTGCCTTCTTGGGTGGACATGTTTTTAATTTACTTTCGCTCACTGTATCAAATGCAGTTCAGAATTACTTGTACACTGTATGACAACTAGACTATTAGTGTTATCAAATATTCCGAACAGGGCACTTTTATAAAGGTAAAGGATTAAAAGGGATTAAAAAAGATTAAAAAAGATTAAAACTGCAGACGAAATTTCTAGTACAGGCAATGAGATTATCGAATGGTAGAAGAATAGTTAGTCTGCATTGATTATTTCGCGAAAATGAGCTTATTTAATCAACAAGGATTACCTACCAACAGGTTTTTCAATATTTGTGAAAATATCTGTATGTTTGAGGTGGGACTTGTATTTTTTGGGACTTACACTTCAAATGAAATTTTTACTAGAAGTTTCTTGATCTTGAAACGAATTACTACAAGCTCTCTGTTTAAAGACTATTTTACCTATCATATTATTTTTATAAAATAAAATACATGAGTCGAGTTATATTTAACTTTAATAAAATAATTCTTGATCAGGCTCGGATGACTTCTAGACTTTTTGCTGAAGTTTCGGTACGGAATCTGCTACCGTTGCGTTGTTGAAGCTTAGGGGATGCATCAGCTAAAGACAAGTCAAATTTGTAATTTTTGGTTGATAATTCAAATTTTGCTTCTAAAATACAAAGATATTACGTAACTTTTTCGAAAGTACCTCTTTTTAAGTTTTTGTTAGCAACCCTATATGTCCCAAAGCTTCTGTTGGGCTAAACTTGATCTTCACTTCCGGATTTTAAAGTGAAAGAAAGCAGTTTGAATGATTGTTCAAAATAGTGGCTGGGTTCAAAGGTAGTACCGGGTGATTGTCTATATTTTGCACCCACACCTATCTCACCTGTTTGAAGAGATTACCCAGACATGTCGAATATGAAAGCTGTAGGTATTCCAGGTATTATTTCGATCTGAACAAACTGATCGAAGTCACTTGAGGTTTGTTTCAAACAATTGTCATCTGGTTTTACCTCGATTTCATTGGCCTTACTGTTTTTTTGACGCCTCATAAACAAACCTGATGTGACTGCAATCAGTTTGTTCAGATCGAAAGAATACCTGTAATATCAGAAAGTTTTCAATGATGTTAGTTACAAGTATACAGGGTGTGTCACAAAAGTGTGGCGAAGCAAAGTTTAACTTTTTTAAGGAACACCCCCCCGTATATTTTAATCCCATTGGATTAGCCGTCCAAACCTGATTCCAAAAATACTAGGTTTTTTAGGTTTATTTCCTATGGTCCAGAAAAAAATAGGACAACAAGGGGTGGAATAATTGCATATTTTATTGAAAAAGGTGAAGTATACAGTGTATCCGAAATTCGAGTCTCTACATGGGGATTTCGTTTATTATGAGAGATACAGGGTGGCTCAAATTAGGAAAATTTTAGAGAATTTATTGCTCATTTATATCCTGTTATTAAATTTGCTTCAAAAGGTTTCTGTTTCCTAGAAATCCGAGAAAAACTGAAAATAGCCAATTTTGTTTTTTGTCAATAATTCATAAACCGTTAACTTTAGACTTTTCTAACTTTAACATTATTAAGACACTTTTTTGAGACGGATATTTTCGTGATTTGAAAACATTCCGATCGTCGTTTGTTCTCGAGTTATTAACCAAAACTTTCTTATTTCTTATGGCGGCTATCTTCGATTTCAACAAAATAATATTCAGCGAAAAAAATCCTTTAAAATGATGTATTACAAGTAATGAAAACGTTTTGCAAGTCCTTCAAAATTACAGTTGGAACCGATATTTTGCTAAATTTCGCAACAATGCTCACAGTTATAAGAATAAAACCGAGAATAAAACTAAATAGGTATGATTTAATACCTAGAATCGATATTTTTGAAGTCTTCTGGCAATTTTACTGGATAAAGAAAAAATAAGTAGGTAAGGTATTCCACATGTTTTTTTTTTTGTAATGCAAACATGAATTACAGTTTTTCCTTCACGCAAAAACAAGGATTGTATCTCGAATATCCAAATTGGTATAATTTTTCCCGAGGCGTAAAACCGGAAGAAGAATGGAGGAAAAGCTGTAATTCATGTTTACATTACAAAAAAAAAAAACATGTGGAATACCTTACCTACTTATTTTTTCTTTATCCAGTAAAATTGCCAGACGACTTCAAAAATACCGATTCTAGGTCTCAGTCAAAATCATACCTATTTAATTTTATTCTCGATTTATTCTTATAACTATGAGCATTGTTGCCAAATTTAGCAAAATATCGGTTCCAACTGTAATTTTGAAGGACTTGCAAAACGTTTTCATAGCTTGTAATACATCATTTTAAACGATTTTTTTCGCAGAATATTATTTCGTTGAAATCGAAGATGGCTGCCATAAGAAATAAGAAAGTTTTGGTTAATAACTCGAGAACAAACGACGATCGGAATGTTTTCAAATCACGAAAATATCCGTCTCAAAAAAGTGTCTTAATAATGTTGAAGTTAGAAAAGTCTAAAGTTAACGGTTTATGAATTATTGACAAAAAACAAAATTGGCTATTTTCAGTTTTTCTCAGATTTCTAGTAAACAGAAAACTTTGAAGCAAATTTAACAACAGGATATAAATGAGCAATAAATTCCCTAAAACTTTCCCAATTTGAGCCACCCTGTATCTCTCATAATAAGCGAAATCCCCATGTAGAGACTCGAATTTCGGACACATGTATAGGAACCACCAGCAAAATATAAAGGTAATCATTCATGTAAAAATAGTTATTTATTATACTAGGAAAAAAAGTACTAGATTTTAGCGCGAGTTGTGGTTTGTCTCCGACGGGAAAATCTCACCATTTTCCATCTATGCATTTTTTTTTTTCTGTGACCGTACTTATACTTTTTTCCCTTTGAGAAAAATATTTGACTGGTACCTGTTAGTTTTGGGAGAAAAAGCGACATTTTTGCCCCTGTCAACAGGTACAAAAAGTCTACTTTTTTCCCGTCACAGAAAAAATCCATTTTATTTCTTCAAAATGGGATATTCAGAGGCAGGACTATGAGGAATAGGTAAACCTTAAAAACCTAGTATTTTTGGAATCAGGTTTGAAAGGCTAATCCATTGGGACAATAATATACGGCGTTTTCTATTTAAAAAAGTATAACTTTGCTTCACAACACTTTTGTGACACACCCTGTATACTTGTAACTAACATTATTGAAAACTTTTTGATATTAGACACTTTAAGTTAGACCAAATACGTTAACGTAATTTTCAAACGTAAACCCTATTTTTTACTTTAGCGTCCAGTGACCGTCGGTGCTCATAAATCAGTTTAAGTTAAATTTATGCAAACGTTAATGTTATATCTCCCAATCATGACCTAACCTCTAAATTTTGTTTTGTTTATGTTTTTCAAAATTTGAAAGGACGCAAACGCATTTGAATTGTTGAATAAATTAGCCAAATATTTATTTTACGTGGATATTTTTTAAACAAATTCTGATAGATGTACGTGTAGGTCTTTGTTGGTCTTCTCTTCTCAATATGGATGATATTTTGGATTTGGTGGTGCTGGATTCAGACTCTGATGACGACGAGTTGGATGACTTGCTTCTAGTGGGAGTAATGCGAGATCATTTAGGGAACAGAGAAAATTTATATGGTCGCTTCTCCTTGGAAGAAACTTTGGAGGCAGAAGCTAAGCAGTATTTTAGATTTGAAAAAGTAGATATTCCACGATTAGCAGCAGCCTTAGGAATTCCTGAAGAAATAAACACTCGAGAGAATATTACCCTTTCAGGTGGGTACTTAGCTGTTACACCCATAGAATGTTACACCTAACTACTTCTGGAAACCTGAGAGGTGTTCACACATGTGTGATGTTTCCAATGTCTCTATTGCAGGTGTTAATGCTCTCTGTATTCTTTTGAGAAGGTTAACCTATCCAAACCGATTGGTAGACTTAGAGAGTTTAGTTGGCTATTCATATGGAGCTCTATCTAGTATTATAAATACAACCCTACAAATAATTGATGAAAACAAAGGACATTTATTACAGAACTTGGGTAATAATCTGTGGTTCAATGAGGCAAAATTACAGCAGTATTCACAAGTAAGGTGACTATTTAATACCCAACTAGCAAACCCATAAACATTAAATGTTTATTTTAGGCAACACATCTGAAGGGGGCACCAATCAATAACTTGTGGGGCTTTATTGATGGAACCATTAGGCCAATCTGCAGACCGAGCATTAATCAAAGGCAATACTATTCAGGGCATAAAAGAGCCCATTGTGTTAAATACCAGTCAACTTTTATGCCCCGATGGTATTGTTATAAGTCTAAAGGGAGCATATCCTGGTTCTCGCCATGATGCAGGGATTTTTAGACAATCAAATTTATATGCCGAACTCGAAGAATTTGCAGTATTTAATAACAGTCGTTATTTAATATATGGTGATCAGGGTTATGGGCTAAGGGAACTATTACTAAGACCTTTTACTCAACACGAAATAGCCATTAATCCTCAAAGGCAAGATTTCAATAATACCATGAAAGCTTTGCGGGTTACTGTAGAATGGGGTTTCAGTAAAATTATCAAGGAATTTGCCTTCTTAGATTTTTAAAAAAAATTGCGACTATTACTCCAAGAAGTTGGCACTTTGTATTCTGTGGGTATGATTTTAACAAACTGCCACACTTGCCTCTATGGTAGCCAACAAAGTGTATATTTTAATATTCAACCTCCCAATCTCGAAGAATATTTGGGAAATCAATAATTATAAGCTATTTTGAAGTTCAAAAAAAGGACAGATCTAGAACAGTTCAAAACAATTGCACAGTTCATTATTGAAATTTGTGATAGCTGAGCCGTTGTCATTTTGATCATTGATGAACTGTGCGATTGTTTTGAACCGTTCTAGAACCATCCTTTTTTCGAACCCGAAAATAGCTATAAACACTTCTACAGTATATCTGTGTTGAGGACTAATGGGAAAACGGAAACAGGAGAAAAAGTCGCTTTCTTCTCGATTTG